TGTTTGATGCCCACATCAACGTAGAGTTGTGCAATTCAATAAAGTCAATTCAATATGTTTCTAAGTAAATTAATAAAAGCGGTGATTAAGCCACTTTCAGCATAAAATCACCAAATGAAGTGGAAAAATATCACTCTGGACGTTACATATGCAGCTCTGAAGCTGTATGGAGGATTTTATCATTCGGAGTGCACGACCGGGCTCCCACCTTGCAGTTCATTTAGAAAATGGACAAAAAGTATATTTCACTGAGAACAGTACACAAGAAGTTGTTAATAATCCGCGGGATACAACATTGACAGCATTCTTCATGTTATGTGCTCAAGATGATTTCGCGAAAACACTGACATATGAAGGAATTCCAAGTTACTAAACATGGAACCAGAGTTGTAAGACTTTTCAACGGGTACTTAGGTACCGTATAGTAGCGTTTTGTTAAGTAACTGATTCTGTTAATCTATGGAATAAATTTCAAGAAAATATGGCCAGTGATATTCTGATTCGGCGACGACGAGATTTAAACTCATATGGTGTACAATATGATCAAAACATATATGACGGAGCATTATTTGAATTGAACAAAGTAATGCAATTACTTTCGGGAAAATCGATCAAGGATATTGGGCTGCCGATGCCAGCTAATACTACTAACTCAGATTTAACTAACAGTGCCGAATACACAAGAGAAACATCATACGAACAAATGAAACTTTTACAAAATATAGCTCAAGATGATCCACGATTAAACATCGATCAGAAAAAAGTATTCACTGCATTACTATAAACAATTGATAACAATGAAGGGAAATTAATTTCCTTGATCCCAGGAGTCACAGAAAAAACATTTTTTATCAATGTGCTTTTGAAAAAAGTGAGATCTACCGGAAAAATTGCATTAGCTGTTGAATCATCCGGCATTGCCGCTACGCTTTTGGAAGCAGGCCGAACCGCACACTCTACATTCAGGCTCCCGCTGAAAATTGCACCAATGATAATAACAGCGTCTGTGGTGCTTCTAAATCGAGAAATATAAGAAAATTGTTGCGTGACTGGTCATTAATAGTCTGGGACGAAGCTACCATGCCAAAGAAGACGTCTGTGAAAGCACTGGATAGGACGGTGCGCGATTTGCGCAACAAAAATTCTTCTATGGGGGGATCTACAATTCTGTTCTCAGGAGATTTCCGTCAAATCCTACCAGTTGGGACTCGCGGAACACGGGCTGACGAAATAAATGCTTCCCTAAAGAGATCCAACCTTTGGCCACATGTCAATACTTGTAAATTAGAGCTTAAAACTATTATGAGGGTTGCGTCATCTTCACGTGAGAACAGGCTATTTCTAGAGATGCTGCTAAAAGTTGGCAATGGAGAGTTAATACAAAGAGAGGGAAGGATTAACCTAGAAAACCTTTGTTTTTTGATAGACCACATCCAAGAGTTAGTCAACATTGTCTATCTTGACATTGTTAACATAAGTTATGAGACAATATCTTGGTTTAAAGAAAAAGCGATTCTGTCACCAACTAATGAACAAGTAGACAAGGTAAATAACTTGATTCTTTCAAAGATTATTGCGCCGACGAAAATATACTACTCGGTCGATACTGTCGATTTGGAAGAAGCTGTTCATTTTCCTACACAATTTCTAAACTCTTTGAACCCGTCTGGTTTCCCTCCTTACAAAATGGTTTTGAAAGTAGGTTGTCCTTTTTTTTATTAAGAAACCTGAACCAACCTAAACTTTGCAATGGCACGCGTTTACTGGTAAAATCACTAAAAACTTTCATAATAGAGTGCACAATACTCACAGGATGTGGTACCGGAGAAGATGTATTGATTCCCCGAATCCCTCTGATACCATCGGATTTTCCCTTTCAATTTAAACGTTTACAGTTTCCGGTAAGGACATGTTTTGAGAAAACCATTAATAAATCGCAGGGCCAAACCTTCAACGTTGCAGGCTTAGATTTGAGCGTTGACTGTTTTTCACATAGCCAACTATGCGACGACCTTTCAAGAGTAAACTTTAGAGAAAGCATGTTTGTACCGTCTAATGACAAGAAAGCTGTGAACGTTGTATATAAAGAGATTCTGTAATATATTAATTGTTGTAAAAATAAAAAAAATAGGTAAAAATTTAAAAAGTATATAAGGGAAAATGTAGTGTATCGAACGAAATCTTTATGATATAGGGAAAGGGGAATTTTTTTACTTTAAATTTAATCTTGCGGGCCACGGCGGGCAGTAATGCATAAATCAAAACTACTGAATCCATTTTAATAATTTTTTTAGTGACACGGAATTATCTAACTTCAACCAAAATGTTTTTGTTCACCTGGTTCGGGCGCCAGTTATTTCCCGCACTGTTAGTTTTATATAAAAGCAGATAATACGACAAACATACCTTTTTATTGGGAACTAACACTTAAACCAAATCACTTATTTGCAGAGTGACAATGTAATGTAGTGTCTGTGATCGTTGAGTTCATAGAATTTTCGGATTAATGATAGACGGCTTGTCACCAATTCTGATAAGGTGCACCGGTTTTTGTGGTTCTGGTTCTTGGTGGTTAATAAACTTATAGTTTACTTACAAGATTTATACTATCAATTATTACTTATATTCATATAAACATGATAGTGCTAACATCCTGACAGTGAATGAATAGTTTATTTATTTATCTTAGGTTAGGTTAGATTAGGTTGGGAGGTCGATCGTAAGAAGAATTTCACTTGGACAGCTTAGAACGCCGGTCCGTTGTGGTACCTAAAAATACCTATAAAGCTGGATCAAAAAGACCCTTACAGATCGACAAAGCGCTTTGAGCCTATAACAAATTTGTTGAGACGACTAATATTCGTTTCGGCTAAGTCTTCTGGTTCGAAGAAGGTATAATTACGGAGATGTTTCAGCCTCAGTCTTGCAAAAAGCCAGACCAGTGAAGGAGAAAGTGCCTGAATGTTTCACCTTCACCCTACTCCATACAACTTTGACAACTAACATCGGGAAAGATTTTAAGCCGTATCGCATGAATTTTATTTGACACTGTCCATTGAGAACTCCTACGATAGCGACGAGATGAACTTTGCTGAGGGCGAGTATTTCACTAGATCTCTTGCTCTCGACATAAGTTCAGAAGGATCTCACGGCCGGAAAGGGGTTGGTCGTCGACCAGCGTCGGCTCAAACTTTCCTTTACTGTATACCGTTTAGAATTGGTGATTTTTTAATGAAATAAGGGGCGCATGTTTTCTAGAACGCAGACAGCTTACTTATATATATTTTGTATTGTATAATGTATTATATATGTATTAAATTGGTCAAGATCTTCGTCTAGCCCTACCGTCCTTATGTAAATTTTTCCACCCCTCCGATTGACTTTTCTCTTATTAACCCAATATATTGAAACTCTTATGTTTCGCATTTTATTTTAACACATCAGCATTCGGTTCGGTGATAAAAATTATGGCTACTGGTACGTACCACAACTTATCTCAAGACCAATATGATATAATTATCTGTGTCAGTTAGGTTGATTTTAATATAAATTTTTTGGATATAAAATAAATTATAGTAAAAATGATAACTTGGTCCATGGCCTACATTATACATTACTAAGATAATATAATAGTATTCCGTTCATAATACTTTTGTTCACTTAAACTTGCATGAAACACTTACAACTGATCGAGTTAGATCAAATTTATATGGTTGACGAGAGGAGTCAATATGTTTAATACACGTATCTCAGAAACTACTATCTTTAATGGTATACCTCCTTTGTGAGTTTTTCCTATTTCCAAAACTAAAGAGAACCTGAAAAGCCCATCGTTTTAAAACATAGATGAAAATCTCTAAAAGGGCTAAAGGATTTCATAAAAATCGAACTTTAGAAGTGCATCAACGATTGGAAGAAGAGTATATATATAAAAATATATATAAACATAAGTTATGAGACTGAAGATTTTATTTTTGATTCATAAATCTCAGCGGAGCTTTTAAAAAGACTAGCCTAGGATTTATTTAAGTGAGAAAATTTGTATTTAATTAAAACTTTAAGTCAAAAATAATATTTTTTGTTTGTGCTCCAAGTAGATGACATATACTGAAAAAGACGCAGAAGGACTTTTGCTTTTCAACGCCTGTTCGAACAATGAAATAATATTCAAGTTATGCCATCTCTTAGCAAACCGCATGAAATAATTATAATTTTCAAACTTACATATTTTTAGCTTTACTTCTATAATGATGTCCACTAGTCACTGCTATCAACATAACAATCATGAAAAACTACAGTATCTGAATGTATTTCACCGGCTTTGATCCTTGCAAGTTGCGAGAGTATAAAATGTTCGGCACTTAGCACGTCCTTACTTGTTTAGTATAAAGTTTTTCAACAACTGAAACTATTTCCTCGTCTTTGACCCTTTGCAAAGAGCAAGAGTACACATACCTCTATGTATGTACGACGTTCGGTTGCATTCGAACTAGATATTATATTTCTAACTTGTTTTATAATATGTATTGTACATACGATACGCACTGTCTCCTTAAATGCAAAATAAAGTATCAGCACTTCTCATAAGTTTACAGGAGAAGCAAAAGCTCTCATACATATATATATATATATATGTATATACTATAAAAACTACTCATTATGAAACAACTTTCGAAGTTTGGTTATAAGTTGGATATACATACTTGTACATATGATAGCAGAAACTTTAGACTGTGTACTTACATATAAGTATGTATTGTAATAAAATGTAGTGAAACCTAATCAATAAAACTCTCATTTTACACCCACATCTGCACAAAAATATTTCTAGTATCAAATAAACAAATTTGCAATTATAAACCAAAATCTTTGTTATTGAATTATAAATATATACATGAAAGTCACCGCAATGTGATTAATTATTTATTTTGTACATACATGTGGTATATTGTTCAATATCAAGAGAACATTTTTGTTTCAATTGAATTTGTTCATATTACCTTTCTTCTAACACATTTAACAATATAAATTTATTATGTTTATATTTATTGATAAATTAAAAATAAAGCTGCGAAATCGATACTTTAGATACACATACGGATGTAAACTAAATTTTAACCCAACCTTCTTTTAGATAGTAGTGACGTAGAACTTCGTTATTCGGTTTTCTTATAAAGATTCCACATATACCTTTGTATAAGCGTATCTATCGAAAAAAAATTGTTTTGGTCTAATACTCAGCCGAGTGTTGTACTGTGTTATAATTTATCATAAATTATAAATCCAAAACGTTATAAAGGCCATACGGCTTTCTTAGAGACTCATTCGTTTCTCCATAAATAAAAAGTCAAGTATAATGGTTTACTTTCTTTTTTAAATAAACAACGTTTCCCTCATCCGTAAAAACAATTCTGTCATCACAAGTTCTATAACATGATTATAAATCAATTAATTTAGCCACTTGGTTTATTATTTATCGATTTTTAATTTAACTAATGATGAATCTTCGACTTAAGTTTGCTTCCGTCGTAACATTTTGTATAAGATTATTCGAATTTTGTGCAGCAAGCACCTATGTTACAGCTATATGAAATACATGAAGGGTTAAAAAATCGAGATGATGAGACTACTTATATTAGCGAAATTTTTTGATTCGTACCACCATTCAATTGTGAAAGTAATACTTTTAAAAGCCGGTAACTAAATTCAGTACCTAAAGCAAATTATCAATTTACAATCCCTATACATTTTTACACATTCGCAACATGTTGATGCAAAGTATAATCGTTTTGTTCACCTCACAACTGTTTGTAACACCTAAAACTAAGCGAGATAGATATGGTTTTATGTACGCTTAGTGCTCTTTTTACACGGTAGATAAGTCTTCCTTATATTTAAAACCTATTAAAATTAGTGACGACAGCATACACTCTGGTGGAACGAATCATGACGAAAATCTCTAGTTCGCAATATAATATTTCCGGAAGGTCGGAAAATCGAAAGTTTTCATATCACGCACGATGATGATGATTTCTTTTCCTAGGCCACAAAGAGTAATTGCTTATATGCTAAAATTCATACAAAGGCTCAAAGAAAAACCTTAACAGAGTACCAAATTATTCTGTCCAAGAACTGACGCACTCAGATCTGCAGAATGCTAAGATCTGTTTTATATAATATTATATACAAAAACCCGCTATTTCAGTAGTAAGAAATCGAAAAGAGAAGCTCACTTCTCGTATTGAACACATTCGACTAAAAGGGATTTATCCGTGCTAGTGGAAGACTGGCAAACTCTAGCCTTAATCACACGTCCATAATAATCCTCAAAAAATTCCGTTTTACTACATAGTACTTAGCATTTCTCCATCAGCTAACTATGCATGGTAAACATCGCTACGGGCAGCAAATGGTCCGACAAGCATTTAATATCCCGCGACTAAAGCCACGACTCTTTCACCTGAACGCTGCAATTTTGCTTTACCTTTTTCTAGTACTAGGGTTGATTTTGCTGGACCTTTCCAGATAAAGGCCTCTATGTTAAAGTCTTCCACCTTTAAAGGGTGAAGTGGGTGTGTTTTGTATGTGTTACGCCTTCGAGCTATGTTTTGATCTGACTACAGTGGCTTTTCTTGCAGCATTCGCACGGTTTGTTGGACGACGTGGATTTCCATCTAAAATTATGAGCGACTATGAAAAAATTTTGTCGGAGCTCATAGATCCCCCGATTTTACAGTGCTAACACCTGATAATTTTCTCAGAGGAGCTCCACTTCTGACCATACCAGAGGGTCACTCACATTAAAAATCGTGTAGGAGAATGCGTCATAATAAATGAATACTGTCTTTCTCCTATAGAATGGCGACTAGGTCGCATAGAAGAGGTTAATCCAGGATCTTATGGTCATATAAGAGTAGTAGATGTAAGAGTGCAAACCGGATAGCTCCAGTAGTCGTGGAGAGCAATAGCCAACGTGGGGCCTCCACGGTGCAGTTTGTGCCATCAAACACATGCATTGAAGAGATGATCAATCTTTAAGGGACCTTGCCGTCATCGGCAACATAAACGCTCAACGGGATTGAGGGCCGTCGTCAGCGCACTGTAACAGCTGCAGCGCCTTCCAGGCAATTAATTCGCCTAGCGTCCCGGATATTTACATGACCTTTGATGAGTGATCGCGCGATATAATTACAACACTCACTACGCATCGCACCCAACATACATTACTATACACCATACCATATACCAATCGCGTCCACAACCCCTCATCAAACACACCACACAATCCACGCATATTCACCGCCTAACAAACCCTAAAATGAACAACGAGAGTGGAATACGCCACGATTTTTTTATTGCGTGTGAGCAGCAGTGTCGATCACCGTCCGTGACCTTTTTTTCGTCAACCGAGCTCTGGGGAGAGCAACACCATTTACAAGTAAAAAAATGTGCTAAATTAAGTGAAGTTGTTAAATAGAGTGAATTGTAAAGAAAATCTAAAATTTAAATAAATTAAAATAATTTGGGAAACAGTGCATTTATCAAAAATCGTAAAAGTAATGCCGCAGAGCTAACTAGTCAAAGCGTATATATCCTCACTAGAAATAGCATCAAGCTACTTCATCATCAGACTCGTTTGGGTGCCGGGTCATAGCGGAATCGCTGACAATTATAAATCCGATGAGATAGCTATTGGCGTCTTGTGTGCTAGCACTAGACCAATGCGCTTAGCAGGCGCTGGTCGAGTAGAACACAAGAGGTGTACTAAACAACAGCTAGTTGGTCAAGTTGTATGGAGAAGGGTGAGGTGGAAACATGAAGACACTTATTCCTCCATTGTCCAGCCTTTGAAAGACTGAGGCGAACCAGAACACCTACCCCAAATTGACATAAGCCGTCTCAACAAACTTGTGATAGGCTCAAAGCGCTTTGACGATTTGTAAGAGCCTTAGGATCTATTATATAGGAGCTTTAGGTACTACAAGAGACCGAACGTCAGCTGTAAAAGTAGCAAAAGTAGTTATCTTTCAGTAATAGCAATACCGTTGTGTACGATTATAAAAGAAAGTAGGACATATTAATAGAGCTTTAATTAAGAATAGTAATAATTATTCTCTTATGTAACAAACAATTATTTATTTATATAATATAATATTTCATGATTTAAGGACTGAAGCTTCACTTTCACTGCCATATTTCGTACCTAAAGAGTGAATATACTGGTAATCACATACGATATACGCTCTTGCTTAGTAGTTGGTGCACGAATGCAGTTCTGGTATTAGTATTTCTCTTTGGTGAGTCTCCCATTGTATATTTGTATTTATTATGTATTTAATCATTTATAAATAATGTTGGCTTATTTTAATTAATTGGGGGATTTTTAATCATTTAGATTATGAGATATAACTACAAGAAAAGGTGACATACATGTTAAATCTTAGTCCCAACATCAGTGGCTAAATGAGCCTACGTCGTCCCGAAAACTTACACCAACACACCTCACACATCACTGACACGCAACATTCACCACATCACCTCTCGCAACATTCACCACCTCACCTCACGCAACATACACCTCACACAACGACCCTACCACCCAGGATACACAACACACCGGGCGATCACCCCACCAACCATCAACAAAACCACGGACACTAGAATCGGCTTGCCCCTTCTTTTTGAACTCGCAGCGAAAGCACCGTCATCCGTGGATTCGTCACATCAGCGGATCTGATCCGAACTAGTTAAATTGCTATCAAAGGCATTTATACACTTTTTTTTTTCTCTTCTCTGCGCTGCGTCGCAAGTGATTGTGGTATTTAGGGAGTGTATAAAACCCGTACTTTCAATTACAAAATAAAATTACAATTGTATTAAAAGCGAAAGGTGGTGAGTATTTTTCTTTGAAAACATTGGAAAGAATTATATATGGTCCTTCGAGCCCTAGTGGACGGCACTATGGGTGTTTAAAAAAAAAAAATACATTTATAAAAAAAAAACAAAAAACCTTAAGTGATATACATATACATATAGAAATACAGTGCAGTTACCAAAAAAGGAAAAAAAAAAAACAAAGCAAAATTACAGTAATGTAACAGTACGTGCAGTTAAGAAAAAAAAAAGGAAAAAAATGCTTTAGTTTAAAACAAAGTGCGGTTACAAACGAAAAATACATATGTACATATATAAGTGCAATAAGTGCAGTGCAGTGCATATAGCCACATTACTGGAATACTGTTAAACAATAAAAAAAAAAAAAATTACAAAGTATAATTACTCATATGTACATATAAGTGCAAAATAAGTGCAGTGCAGTGCATATACACTAGAATGCTGGTAAACAATAAAAAAAAAATAAATAAATAAAAGTTCAATAAATATTAAAAACACATAAAACAATAAAAATAACAAAACGGGCGCGAAGCTTAATACAAAACATAAATCAAAAAAGCGGGCGCGATACAAAATACATACCACAAAATACATATAAACCAACAGCGGGCGCGATACAAAAAAAAAACATATAATCCAACAGCTGGGACAACTACACTTTATAACGTCCACTTATATCTCCCACAACCCCTGCAGGAAATCAGAGTGAGTTGTATCGCTTCCTCTCAATGAGTATATTTACATGTATATATGTATGGCAAATTACGTTTTTTTTCCATATAAAAAACGAAATTAATATTTAAATATAACGGACACCAAACTGTCTCAATTTACGGTTTAATTTACGGAAAGAGCCGAAAACAGTTTGGTACATATTATATATATATATCTACATATATATACATATATATATAGATATATATACCGGTATCGAAAATAGCCATATTACATAGGGTGATTTCCTTGTCTTGTTGTGTTATTAAAAACACACTTTACGTTTCCAACAACACCAAAATATTCAAGTATTCACTTGCAAACTTTTCCAGCAATACCCCTTCAGCTTAACAAAGCAATAAGCAATTCGTCAAAAATAGTAAGACAAATTCAGAACCTAACCGAAAACATAAAACAAAAACAAGTAAGGAAAGGCTAAGTTCGGATGTACCGAACATTTTTACTCTCGCAAAGTCAAATGGTATACTCGTTTGAGATTTCTTTGTGGATTGACAGATATTTTCGTAGAGGTCAACTATAGGCACTGGGGTCCACTATTTAGTACTTAGGGGTTTGAACAGTTTGGTTCGATTTAGACAATTTTGCGCAAGGTCATACTTTAATTGCATTATTCACGCAAAGTTTACCCCGATATAATCATTGTTACCTGATTTGCATAGTGGAAAGTGAAAGAATCAGATGGAATTAAAAATGGTGTTACATGGGAAGTAAGCGTGGTTGTAGTCCATTTCATTTTCGCACTATGACATAGAAACATGAAAGAACGTTATGCACCGAATTTGTTGAAATCGGTTGAGCAGATCTCAAGATATGGGTTTTCACCTAAAATTTTGAACGCGGTTCCTATAAACCAATTTATACCATCTCTGAGATAAAATTTAATGTCTCTGGC